GGGGAAACCAAGCCAGATGGGCGGGTGTAAATAATAATAATAATAATAATAATAATAATAATAATAATAATAATTGTTAATATAGTATCTTGTATCCTGCAGCGACCAACCAGATGCCTTTGGGAAGCCTGCAAGCGTGACATGGCTCAGGCTCCCCAGGAACGGCCATTCAGAGATAGCCTGGAAATAGTATAAAGCCACCATGATTAGTTGCTATAACTATCAATAGCCTTTTTGTTGTTGTTGTTGCTGCTGCTGCTGCTGCTCCAGGAATCTATCTAATCCCCTTTTAAAGCTGTTGACATGTGTGGCCATCATGACATCTTGCTGTAGCAAGTGGCATGGTTTACTTACAGTATGTGCTGTGAGAAGAAATTTCTTTCTTTTGTTGTCCTGAATCTCCCAACATTCAGCTTTAATGGTGAAGTATATATATATATAAAAGATTGCAAAAAACAACAACATTGTGGAAAATAACTTCCCACCACCACAAGTAGTAATTGTTGGCACCTGTCCATTTTGAGAGACAATGGAGGGTACCTCCAGGAGTGAGGTCAAACCGCTGCAATAGCAGCACCCAAGTGGCGCAAGCCTGAGCAGTGTGTGTGTGGGGGGGAGGTTCCTGGGCTGCCCAGACAACAAGACCCCCTTCTCAGCCTTGCTGATGTGGTTGAAAGGAAAGGAGAGCAATATATTTGGCACCAGCTTAGCTGCAGGAGTTGCTGGAAGGAGGCGTCCAATGTGTCATCCACCTGCCTTAGGGACTCCACTATGAATTTGTGTAGGGTTTACTCCTTAGCCTTTTTTTTTCTCATGTAGATACTCCGCAAGGCAGTGGAGGTTTAGGATCAGAGTATTCCTTCTCCTAGATGGGCTGCCTTCCCAAGTGGACCCACCTGCCCCTCACTTCCCTCTACAGCATGTGCAGAAACCGCCTTCTACTTCTAGGTCGTGGTAGGAGGGAAATGTGCTGAGAGTAGCTAGGAGACCCCTCTCACCATGCTACAATTTCCAGCACCCTTACAAAACTACACTTCCCAGGTCTCTTTGAGAGCCAGTGTGGTGTAGTGGTTAAGAGCGGTAGTCTCATAATCTGGTGAACCGGGTTCGCGTCTCGGCTCCTCCACATGCAGCTGCTGGGTGACCTTGGGCCAGCCACACTTCTTTGCAGTCTCTCAGCCCCACTCACCTCACAGAGTGTTTGTTGTGGGGGGAGGAAGGGAAAGGAGAATGTTAGCCGCTTGGAGACTCCCTAGGGTAGTGATAAAGCAGGATATCAAATCCAAACTCTTCTTCTTCCAAAACTTTTCTTTGGGGGAAGATACAATTATTAAAATAGAATAAGAGTCTTTTAAAGGCATGGTGTGAATGTGGCCAGTAGACTGGATGATACCCAGGATAAAAGGGGAGATGTCTATGCAATCAGAATAAGGTGAGGAGGAATGGTTTAAAGTCACTTCAACTGAGGGCTCGTCCACATTTCCCATGCCTAGACAGCACGGATCCAAGAGATTTCCTGCTTGTCCTGTGCTTTCTAGGCACAGGTCAGAGTGGTTTTCCATTTGCCCTGTCACTTTCCCTGGGAAAATCTGCTCTTTGCCACTGAATCGAACAAATGTAGAAGCAACTTGAAGAACTACCTCTCATAAGTTAAGACAAATGTATTCAACTGTCTCAGACTAGCATTTATTGAATACAATGTCAGCTGCACTTTCATATATATTTTTTTCTTATATCTCTCCCTCCAGAGCCAAGGAGATCAAGACGAAGTTGGGCACACTGCTCCAGAAGCCTGACTCGGCTATTGACTTGATTATCCCTTACCCAGAGAAGCCGGAAAAGCCAGCAAAGGTCCAGAAGTAAGGATATAATAATTGTTCCACTCTGTGACCCTGTTTTCTGCTGTTTTCGTTTTTCCATTTTGCTGAAGGCCATTTTCTAGCAATGTTACATTTGAAAGTGTGGTTGGGTGAACTTCTGCAATACATTTGAAGCTTATTACTCATTATAATACCCTTGTCAGCCTCTTTGAACTCTCAGGTAGGTGGGGCCAAAGTCATGAGGTAGTGGGAAAGTCAGAGGGTAGTGCCTAGGAAGTCAGAGGAAAGTGTATAGACCTTCTTCGTATCATGTTTAGTCTGCTTGCAGAGCATTCCCCTCTTTCTACCCTTCTTACAATGAACACAGTATTAAGTAAGTTTAAAAAGTTTTACTTACAAAATGTTCCAAAGGTCAGATTCCTGCATTTATCCAAGCAGCAGCAAGGAGAACACAGGCAAAATACTCTCGGAAAATATAGAATGATAGCTTCAAACACATGCTCTAAGCTTGGAGCAAAGCTTAGACATGTCTTCCTTGGTTAGTTACATATGGCAGAAAGGGAACAGAAACAGAAGGCTTCACTTCCTCCCTCTTCAGCAAAGAGGATGTATGATCTAGCTGAGTCTAGGAATCTAACTCTGTGGTGTTAACCCCTTCATGTACTAACTAGAACTCATGCATAGCTATGTTTGACTGCAATTTCCCAAAACGTGCCTAATTTCATGAGGATGAGTGCAGCCTGAAGGGATAGGTGGAGGCCAGGAGAGGGAAAAACGGGGGGTAGCCCAAATTGACAAAGTGATGGAACAGGTAGTAAGCCTGGGGAGAAGCTCTCTAGAAGCTTCTGGCACCAGTGAATTGGTCTTTGCCAGCAGGCTGATGAACAAGGAGGGAAAGAGAGAGAAAGAAAAGTGGGTGGCAGAAAGACGAGGGAGAAACGGAGAAAGAGAAAAGGCTACTTTGGTCTCTTTGCTACCCAGCACTGGCTTCGTACCCTTTCTATAGAGCCAGGCCCTGGGCATTAGATCCAAGCCAGTGGGACAAATCCAGTTGAAGCTCAGGACCAGCAAGGATTTGAATCTGGAGTTTTCTGGTCTAAATCCACCATTTCAGCCATAATGCTACACTGACTCTTACCTCCATCTCACTACCAGATATAGTGGGAAAGGCAGTTCAGGAAGTAACAACACACGTTTTCACTTCACTTACGACAGTGGGTTTGTCTGTCTCTTTAAAGCAGTTATAGGCCACCTTTCCAAAGTTCTCTCAAGGTCGAGTTCAGCTGAAACAATATAATGTTAAACTTTTAAAATGACAAAATCCAAAGGTAAGCAACATTTTAAAATAAAACGAGTCAACATCAAATAGCACAAACCACAACAGCCAGTTAGCAGTGCATCCAGTGAAATCACATGACTTAAAAGTCACTTGGAGCAAATAGATCTTCAAAGCATTTTGCAACAACAAGACTGAAGGTGTCAAGCCAACTATATACCCCTTGAGAGGGAATTCCAGAGTCGAGCTACCACTGAAAAGTCCCTGTCCTTCAATCTTAGGCAGGCCAACAGTCTGGGTCTCCCGTGCCGAACTGAAGGCACAGGCAGGTTTGTACAGGTGTAAAGCTGTAAACGTGGTCTTTCAGAACACAACTCCATCCAGGATCAACTGAAGACTTAGTACCTCTTTCTTCATCTTAGTTGCCCTTCCATCCCAAAACGTCCTCGTCTAGACACCTGTCCGGGAGTTCCACAGCCTTCCTGGGATTTATAGCTGGAAAACAGAGGTAGAGCTGTCTGTCACCAGAATCCTGATGACACTGCACATTAATACAGGCATTAACAGGGCTTAGAAATAAGTGTTTAAACAGGAAATTAAATGCCCCTGTGATATATGAGGGAATTAAACTTCATTTTACAAAAGGGGAAATAAAATCAGCTTGAAAGTTGATCCCATGGCTTTCACAGCTTGTCAAAGGACTGTGAGTCGATATATTGATCCCCTGTCAGTTACTAAAACTTCAGATGTATATTAGCAGGTTTAGAAGAATAAGAGTTTTATAGGAAGTGTGCAAACAATAGTTAATGGTATCAACTGCTGGGAGGCATCTTGGTGGTGGAGGGCTCCATTTATGCTGGCCTTGGAGCCCTGGTGGCACTGCTGCCTGCCGATCCACAACATTAATCACTGTCAGTTTTATCTGAAGGAAAACAGTCTCCCATCTGTACTGAAGATAAATCAGTTCCAGGAATTGGAACAAAATGAACCCCAGTAGCATCTGCTTTTGTTAAGGAGAAGGGTGGCCTCAGTGGGAGAAGGGAAACTACTGTATATTGGCTTTTTGGCCCTGAATCTGTTTCCAATTACTTCTAACGAAGGTTCTGCAGATAGACTGATCTGAAGATTGCATTGTGATCTGCATGGCTGTTATTGGCCTAGTTTGAACAATCATTAGAGACAGAAATTAGATAGATTGTGCACTTTTCCTTTTCAAAGTCATTAAGAACAAATTAGGCGATGTGCTTCATCTTGTCCTGATAATGGAAACAGCAGTCTCATCTTGTCAGCCAGCGGCTCCTCTGAGTTTCTGGAAGGAGGAAAGCATTCTGTTTTCTATTATTCCTACTGGAATAAAAGTTTGCTTATTTTTACTATTTGCTATTTTTAATTTCTGATTTTGTGAATCATGCAGAACCTCCCCCCCCCATTAATTACTGCCAAAGTAGATGCATGCTTAAATACACAGACACAGGCAGGCAGCTGCAGATCTTGTTTTTCTTTAGCTGTCCGGGGAGCCCGATTCTCACTGTGAAGGCAGCAGCGCGTGGGAAGCAGAAGCTTATCTCTTCAGATCAGAAGGGAGCCTTAGGGTGCTTCCAGATGGAGGTCTATTGTGGAATCAGTACTGCCCCTATGCAGCATTCAGGCAACATCAAAATGTCAACTTATACTTTTTTTTACATTTTATTTGGATTTCTTCTTACTGTGAAAAACCAGTTAGATAAAAATCACCCATCATTTCTCTGCTAATGTGTGGAAGCTGCATTTTGGGGGGTTGGCAATTTGGGGTGTGCGTGTGTGTGTGTGAGAGAGAGAGGGGGGGGGAGATTTATCAGTGGATGGTCCCTGCTATCACACATTGGCAGCTGGTGCCCATGGAACCTGGCAGGGGTGCTAGGAAGTCTTGCCCAGTTGTTCTGGTTTTCTTCCCAGCCTCCTTGCTTGCAAAGACGTGGTGAATACTTCAGCACTGCAGTTGTCCTAAGACTAGGGCTCAGCCACACTTACCTTTCGCTCTTCTCTTTCCAGGCAGAGCTCCGAGTCAGAGTCTGAGCATGCGGTTTTTTGTTTGCCCCGGAGCTTTCCTCTTTAAAACCAGCTCTTTCGCACTGAATTGGAGCAAATGTTAATCAAGTTTTCTGCAGATTGATGTTGATTCTGATTTATCATCAAAGAGTGGGTTTTCCAGGGAAAAGCAGCAGGGGCATAAAGTGTGGGTGAACCCATAGTTGCTTTTCTGCTGGGAAAATAGTTGTGTACATCTGTATTTCCTCATACTCTCCCTATGCAATTTTTTTTGAAGTTTTATTAATATGTAACACCTAACCCTAAGTTCTGTGGCTCAGAATTGCTGTCATAATTTCTAGTGTGGGTTCATGCCAAAGAACCCACATTACTCAGAAGTAAGACCCACTGAATTCTACTGGGATTGCCCTCAGACAAGTATTATATAGGATTGCAGTCTGAATTGGTAAGTCTTAACCAGCAGTCCCACAGGGCTGTTTCCAAGGGCCCTCATGACTTTACACTGCAATCAAATAAACAGTTAAGACCAGGATTTCACCATCTCAAGCCTTGGGGGAAGCATGTGCTTTCTGAAGGAAAAATCAAAAGGCACATTCACCTGAATCATCTTTGGGGTTGGGTGGATGGAGTGCTTCACTTCATACAATCTCCTTGTCACCCACACGCAGGGTCCTTCAACCAGCTCTTGTCTCCACCAGTTGGCATGCAATGCCCAACTGCCTTCTCAAGCTGAATGTGAAGGGTGTTCTGCATAAAAGCTACCTGCCATTTTCTTTGGATGCTGCCTTAACTCCTGAATGTGTCCTTCAGTCTGAGTGGGGGCTGCAGTGGTCTCCACAGGCCCAACAAATGCTTCCCTCTTTTCCCAATTTTCCCAGTGGGTTGTTGACAGAGATTGTTATGGGCTGCCCTGCTTGAAGTCTGGGCGAGTTCTGTGGATGGACATGAGTGAAATTTGCAAACTCTCTTGCTCTGGAGAGACATCTGTACAAACAGGAGTTGTGTTCCCTCTCCCTCCCACTTCTTCCACTCCTGAAATTAGGCTACTTTCACTCCAAATAACCATGGTTTCCTCTGCCCTCCTCCACACACTGGACAATGCTCTTTATCTTTTTTAAGAAATATTTTTTCAAGCATCTTGCAAGTTTATGCATCTTGGTGTTTCTTTGCTACCTTTATATAGAAAAAATACACACTTCATTTTTTTAAAAAAACCTGAAAAGTGAAAGTGAGGAGGTGTCTTTATGAGCTCAGTCCTACAAGGAAATTTGTGTATCTGACACAACCAGGGATAATGCAGCTTGATTACATCTGTGTACACCCTGGTGGGAGGCCTAACAGTATTTACCTTTATACAATTAAGAGTGCTTTACAAGTATACTACTATGCTGACTATAAGGTGCTTGCCAACATTTTAATTTTACATATGGGGAACTGAAGCTGAGAGAAACAGGAAGAAGCGGGGAGGAGAGAGAATGTAACTGACTGACTTATTTGCCCAGGCTACACATTTAATCCATGGCAGAAGTGGCAACCCAGAACTCATATTTATTTGGTCTGGGATTCCCAGATCCATGTCCAGCCTCCAGCTCTCCATTCATGGACCAACCACACTGATGGTTGTTTGCCTTGAAATAGTTATGCACCACCTCTCAGAACCAGGCAGGTTTATGCCACAGTGGCCTCGCTTCTCTTCTTCTCCCTCCCTCTTGAGTGATGTTGCCAGCTTGCATCCACCCCCCCCCCATACATGGCCGATGTGGCTTTTGTCTTAAACTAATCACTGAGGGCTTGTCCACACTTCCGCTTGTCCGGTGCCCAGAAAGCACAGATTTGATCGGTTTTCCCCTTGCCGGGGAAAACCTGCTCTTTAGCTTTAAATCAGAATAAACACAATATTTGCTCCAATTGAGTGCTAAAGTGTGGTTTCCTCCAGGGGAAAGCAGTGAGACAATAATAAGTGACAATAAACTCTTGATTTCAAGCCCTGAAGGGTAAAATCAGATCATTATTATCCATGAAGAGTAAAATCAGATCATTATTATCCATTTCATTGCTGTGAGAACCCTCTGGCATGTCTTGCCTGAGACAAAGGGGGTCATTGACTACATCCCTTAGGAGGGCGTGGGAACTGATGTTGGATCTCTGGGAGGGACAGAAGCAGACCCCAAAGCCACAGCCAGAGCAGGGGAAAGAGTTCAGCCTTCAGAGAACTTTTGAGAATGAATGAATGAATACTCAAGGGATACGGATGGAGATGGATCATTCCCCACTCTGCTCCAGACTGTTTCTGCCTAGTTCCACACAAAATAAACTGGGGATGTTAAAAATGGAACATTGGAAGCAATGTAGGAGCCCCTACATGGTACTTCAGGGAAGAACTGTGTGTTATACTCAAGACAGGACTATGGCCCAATACTGCTACCCCATGTAGAATTCATTCTCCTTCGCTCATAGAATGTGGGATCATAAAGTGCCTTTCCCCAAGCCTCACTCCAGCACACTGTCTGCCACAAGAGGGAAAATGTATGGTGTGATTGTCATGGTTTTCTCCATAATGATCCAGAGCAAGTCATAACAAATAGTTAGCAGAGTAAGAATGTTTAAACTCGATGACGGGTTCCAAAAAAGATTCAGACACAATCAGCTTCATCCAGTATTATTTACTGAAGGCAAATGAGCATAACATTCACAGATCAAGTTGCAGCAAAACCTTAACTTACAATAAGCATAGCTGTCAACGTTTCCCATTTTTTAAGGGAAATTCCCTTATTCCTAATAGGATTCCTCACAAGAAAAGGGAAAAGTTGACAGCTATGACAATAACACTAAAAACTTAGCTCTTAAATATACTATATACAGATTACCACCAAGGAACGAAGTAGAGAGAACCAAGAAGGAAAAAGAGAAAGCGAAACCAGGCTCTTTTGGGCCTGTTCTTATAGGCAGAATGACCTTGGGAGAGAAAGATAACAGGACCAGTTTAAAGCAGCTGAATTTAGGGTTGCCATATTTCAAAATGTGAAAATCTGGACGGAAAGTTAAGCTTTGTTTTTGGTTGTTGAGCTTTTCGGGCAAATTCACAAAAAAAGAAGTTTTTGAGCTATTTTTAAGGAAGATCGCCAAAAACACTGCCGATATGCCATACGTCCGGATTCTCCTGGACCTTTTAGCGATTTCTGCCTGGACACTGCTTCTGACTGCAATACTCCAGATATGTCCAGGAAAGTCAGGACGTATGGCAGCCAGTGGTGGGAATCTGTAGGACTCCATTGTCCTTGTTGGCCATGCTGGCTGAGTCGGATGGGAGTTGGTACCTCAAGTTTGCAGCATTACTCAAACCTGGAGCCTGAGGAAGTATGGAGTTTGTGCACCCATAGGTTTTACCTAATTCCAAATCTGGTTCCCCAGGTCTGTTTTTTACATACGTAAACAAACAAACAAACAAGAGAACGGAGATGTTAGCCTAGATCTCCATTGCCTCATCTAGTTGAGCCATGAGCTACAAACAAATAAGTCCTTAGTTTGACTCTCCCTTCTGGCATAAACTCAGTTGCTGAACTTACGCAAGTCACTACTTGTCTGCGCATCAGTCTGCTCATATGTTGTATAGGGAGGATAACATCAATCTTCCTTCCAGGGCTGTAGTTAAAAATTATGTGTGTGAAGTGCTTTGAACAAGAATAAAGTCAAAATGCTAAGTGATTATTCTCAATCCTTCTCCACTGTGATGCCTTCAAACACCAACAATTCTTTCTGCTATATTTTACCAGTGACTGTTTTCACTGACTTTAATGGGTGTGCCTAAATATCTCCCCCTCTCATCTTTTCAGACCATCACCAGAGGAGGCTTGGCTGTGGCGCAACTCTCTGGAGAAACTCCTGCAAAATCCATGTGAGTTTGCTGTGGGATCTCCCACTACTGGGAACAACGTTAGAGTCCTTGCAGGTTGTGCGTGTGAGCAGGTTAAATCATTCCTTGGGAATGACAAGGTAGAAGTGCAATCATAAGTATTTAATAATAACGACACTACACAAGGGCTTTGGATGAAAACTGAATGACTAGAACTAGAGACATGGAGGAATCCAGATATACAGGTAATAAAGGTGTTGGTAGTAAGGCAATATGACAGAGGGGGAAACCCAGTATTCATAGGCATGTGACATGTGCAGAAGTTGAATTGCAGCCACAAGTTAGTTAGAGCAATTAGACTCTTAAGGACATAGTGATTTAAATGCCATTGTCTCCATTCATAAGGAGCACAACAAATTCCTCCCTCTCCCATATAGCTAGCCTTCATGTGAACTGGGGCTTCTGTGACTAATAGTCCCTTAGTAAGGCTTGCTAGAATCCTGCTACATTATCCTCCGCCAAAGACTACTTACTATTATGTGATAGATTCAAACAAGAGAAAATGGAACTGGAATAAGAGCTTGGGGTAGAAATACATCGTTCTGATATAATTTGTAGGTACGATGGAAGAAAAGCGATACAGATGTTGAATAGAGGAATCTGCATTTTCCATGTCGGAAGCCAATGTTCTCTCTTATTTGAAAGGATTATGATGAATCCATTATTTTAAATGATGACCTTCCCCCAATTTTTCTCTGTGCAGACGGGCTTGCTAGCTTCAGGACCTTCCTCCAATCCGAGTTCAGTGAGGAGAACATTGAGTTCTGGATTGCTTGTGAAGACTATAAGAAAATCAAGGTGCCTGCTAAAATGGCTGAAAAGGCCAAGAAGATCTATGAGGAATTTATCCAAAGTGAGGCTCCCAAAGAGGTCAGTTATTTGCACTGAAAGGAGTTCATAAATTTGCTGTATGCTAAGAGTTGTCTCTGGTGGAATGATCTCACGATATCATCCCCCAAATCACGAGACAATTCTCTAAACTATCCCCTGACTGTATATCATAATGATTTGCTGTTGCAGTGACAGTTACAGCATTGCTTCCCGGTCATCATGCAATATACTTGGGAACTCTACTTTTACACCTTTAATTTTTTAAAAAATTGAATATCTACCGTAAATTAAAGTTGTAGTAGAACTTTGCTCTAATTCAAAGCCTGCTAATTTCAACAGGCTCTGCCAACATTTTCAAATTAAAATTTGTATCCTTTGAAATTTTACATCTGCCACATACAGCCCACAACCAAGACTCATGTACTTATTCTAGGGAAGAGCCAAGAGCTCAATGCTCAGGTTCAATTCCTGGCATCCCCTGCTAAAAGGATCTCATGTGGCAGGGTTCAGAAAATGCTCCACCTGAAAGTCCAAAAGACTGACTGAGAATGTGGTAGCTTCATAACTGATATTTGTAGCAAAAATTCACAATCTACATTGCAAATAAATTCAAATATTTAATTATTTTTGCATTAGTGTTCTAGATGTTCAGTGCATTATGGCCCAGATTATTTTCTGATATTCCTGGTTTCATGTTTGCCATTGTTACAAACATTTACCGGTATTTATCTATTTATTTATTTATAATTTGCACCCCACCCATCTGACTAGTTTGCATGGGAGAGGCATGTTGGCAATTCTGCCATAAATCCAAGTGCAAAACATATTTTTAGTAGCTCCCTTGCTTTAAATAACACTGTGAAGGAACAGGATTGGTTTGATTTCCACAGATAATCACTTCCCCCCTCCTTCTTACCTAGGTGAACATTGACCATTTCACCAAATCTGTGACCATGAAGAACCTGGTGGAGCCATCTGTGAGCACTTTTGACCTGGCCCAGAAGAGAATCTTCATGCTGATGGAGAAGGATTCTCTGCCCAGATTTGTGCGTTCCAACATATATCAGGAATTAGTAAAGTAGCAACGTGGCAGAGCTGTGCGGGGAACTGCTACTCCCACCCCAAGCAGCGCCGTTACTTCCTTACTCCAGTTATCAGTAGCCAGCGTTTGCTAGTCATCTGCGTAGTTGTTTTGCTTTATATATACAGTATATATATATATTTCAAGCTTCTAGAGTTCAAAGGCTGTGTTGTTAAAAGTCTTGCCCACACTGTTTTGGTCTCTCTGCTGTTCCAGATGATTTCATATTACAATTTCTGAAATTTCTGTTCTTCTCCATGAATATCACTGTTACACAAAAAAAAAGAAAGTAAAAGTAATTAGACGGGCACACCTACCTAAAATACAACAGATGTCAACTGTTGAAACCTATGCTACTTGTATTTATTATCCCATTACCTATCCATCACATGTCTGTGTCTAATTAAAGATAAGGAGGTTGTGGGGTCTTGAACTGGTGCATTGGGACCCACTGGTGACTTGCGGCTGGACCTATTGGTTGGTAGCAGCAGCAGCAATACCACCATTCAAATATATGGTGTGACAATAAAAAGTGGGTCTCCAGTTGTCTGCTTGGGCTAAGGGTGGGTCCCTGGTCTGAAAAGGTTGAGGACTATTACTATAGAAAACAGGTTTTGACCTGCATAGGTCATCCTGTCATTTGTAGTAGCCATGAGGATACAGCATGGCTCAGCTATATAAGGAAGATAAGAAAGGAAAAGGCCCACAAAAATAACATTCGCTCTCTTGTGCCTTTTTACTTAATTCTTTCACTGAGATCATATTCACATACTCCCACGTCAAAAGTTTGTTATCCACTAGGTCATTTTATTACTGCAATTTCATCCAGGGAATGTTATTCAGATATATTGTTATCGGGTGAGAGCAGGCACTTAGCATGCCTCAGTAAACCAAACAAGGAATGTGACAGAAAATTACAGCTCTTTGCCAATGAAGGTAGCATTCGAACACACATTTGCCACATGAAACTGATGGTATAAAAACTCATGATTGCAATAATGATCTATATGTTGACATGGGGATGTGGGAATTAGGCAGGAAAGCCAAGAGGTTTGTCAAGCTTCTTGTGGGTTACATGCAGCTTGGTGGATCATAAGTTACACCAAAGCCTGCTCTGTTGTGAAGAAGGCTGAAGAGAAAGTGATAGTTTTTCGGTCAGCAACTGATGTCGCTCCAGCATGTTCTGCTGGAGTTGAGGGAAGGGATGTGCAATTATATCATTTTCAAAATACCCACCCCAAGTAGCAGTTACTAAAACACACTAAAACTCTTGGAAATGGAGGCAAAGAGGTAAATAAATCTCACCGTTCCAGCCTAAACAGTGTGGCTTGTTTTTAGCAACCCAGGCCTCTTATTTACTTCCATTTCTAAGTTAGCTTTAGTGAGGTTATAATAACTGTAATGGACCTACATAATTCCCAGTTCCAGTGCGCAGCCCATGTGCAGGAGCAAATGTAATGTTCCAGAAGTATTCTTTTCTGAATTGTGATGAAAATACCTGTAGCAAAGTCTTGTCTTTTCATTCTCTCGGGGGCGGGCTTGCCAAAGCGGTATTTCAGCCTAAACATTTAGCCTCAAAATTAGTGTTACTTGTATTCTAATTATAAGCTATCTAGATTTTTGCTTTCTGTGAACTGCATGGAAATAGAAATGCAAATGAACCCAAATGAAGAGAAAAGGTAGCAGTGCTAAGCACCATCTTGCAATCCCAGCCTGTGGGTGCATAGCTGGGGAGATACCCTGAATGAGTCAGCTGTGCAGCATGCGAGAACTACCCTACTGTTAATCCAGATTCACCTTTTCCCACAGAAAACCCATTTTTTAAAAAATAAAAATAAAACCCCTTCTGCCATTGACCAGTTCATGATATCTAAATGACTCATTTGCCCCTTATTTTTGAAAACTCTGAGATCTGGGCAATTATCAAGATGGGGGAATTAATCCTAAATGCTAAAAAGAAAAAGAAAAAAGAAGGCACAATAAAAAGCAGGCTGCCAAACCCTTTTAAGTTCAAGATGAAAAGAAAATATAAAATTTAGACAGCTCTAGCAGGAGGATAGATTGCTTTTCTGTGTAAAGATTTGGTTAATTACATTATTGTTGGTCAGACTCCACAGGACAGACCTAATTGGGTCACTAATATTCTATTTCAAGGTAAGGTTAGAACCATTTCCCACTGAAAGTACATGGCCACTCCACTACTTAAACCAGCCTTGGCCAAAGAAAATATCTTATTACAGCTTGCCTGTCATGAAGAAAGTCTTTGGTCTCACTCCAGTTTCAAGATGTGCTGACATCCTGTGAACAGATGCTCATTTCTAGCCAGCCCTAACTCCGTCTTTTTCCTGGTAGCAGTAAGTCACTAGTTATGTCCCTTTACAGACAGGGTAGAACGTCCTGTGGGATTAGACACCAATCCAATCCTATTATTTCTATATGGATACAGAAGGGGGAAGCAAAGTAATGACTGCAATGTATGAAGTGTGTATAAGCAACCTTAATAAACAGAGTTCTCCTTTCTAAGGGCCTGAAGAGCAGTCATTTAACTTCATCTGGCACCACTAGGCTTTGTGGCCACCATGTTCCTTTCCTCTCACCTGCCAACTACTACTTATGTCTAGAGTGTAACTGTCTGAGTGTCGGGGCTGCCTGACCATCAAGCCCAGCAAGGATGGCTAACGGCCAGAGGTGGTAGAGGTTGTAGTTCAGCAACTTCTGGAGGGCCAAAGGTTTCCACACACCCGCTTCACAAGGTACTTCATTATAATGCACTTAAATAGCTTTACATATACTACAAATAAGTGCTGGACTAGAACCATCATTCTCAGTTTTCTTAAATTTCTCAATAAACAAATTATTTTCTTCTAAATTATAAAGACATACGATGCAGTCTTTAAAGAAAAAAAGTCATCATGAAAGGAAATTCCAGGCAATAACTAATCTAAGTTGGTTAAATAATCTTATTTTCCTGGGAAATGATATGACAATGAGTGATTAATCAACCTTGGTTTTAGCCCATGCTTTGATGCGATCCATCAGTGGCGATCCCTGATGTTACATGCACTTGTTTGTGGGGAACTATGTGGGAAAGGCTGACTAATCCCCAGGGACCATTTTTGGGAACACACATTTCCTTGAGATGCTGATAACAGAACAAGCTGTCAAGATTCCTCTCCCCCTAGAGGCAGATTTTCCAGCCCATGATGTATGAGGCAGCCTGCATGGTTACAGCTTAGGCTGAACCTGTTCTGTTTCTCTCCCTCTGAAATTATAAAGAGCTTGTCAACATGTTTAAACTAGCAGCCTGCTCTCTTGGGTCCTGGAAAGAGAGCTTAACAAGACAGCATGTGACATACCATTAAATAAACAAAGGCTTGACAAACCTGTTTTCAGAAGAGTAAGAAAAATAACTTCTAAAAATTGTTTCCATGCTGAAAATATAAAAATATAGCTCATGGCTGAAGGGTCAGGCTTCCCAGGAGAAAGAAAACAAATCAATTTGTTTTTATTGTTTAGCCTCAGGCAAACATCTAAAGGACCATTACAGCGTGAGAATGGGGATCTTATGCCCCCTCCCCCGATTTCTCAGTATAGACCTGGTTCACACATCAATTTAAGCCATAATTAAAAACAAATTATGGTCTGTGAACAAGCAGCATGCTTGCACACACTACTGAAAACTTCTTATTGTACTCCTCTGCTTCTCTCTCCTTGCTGGGAAAGAAGCAAGAGACTAAGTTGTCATGTTTCTCTTGCAACAAACCATGTACATTAGCCAAGGTTTGCTCTTCGCTCATGGTTTGTTTGGATGAAACAAACCATAAGCATTCTGGTTAGGGAGCAATTTTATCAGGATTGCAGTGCATTCTGGGTGACTTGGAGAATACCTGAATCAATTGTGGTATGAGTTTACTGTCACACTGTCCAAATTCTAAGCATTTCTTACCAATATTTTAAAGCAGGTTTCAACTGGGGCTTTTTTGCTGCCTATTGTTGAAGAAAGATGAGTAAGAGAGAAACGGGCTATGACAACAACAACAACAACAAAACAACAATACCCACAAGTTCCCACACCCCTGTCACTTTCCCGTCCCAAGCAGAAAACAGTGATTTCAGAGCTTCATCAAAGGAAGAATTTAGTCAGTCTGTGATAGAGAAGCACTTAGAGCCCAATGGATGCTCAAGGCAAGTGCTTCTCAACATCATCAAAACGTGTCTTGGAAGATGCCTCTAATGATCCAATATTTTAAAAAATTATTATGACATCTTCATCCTGTCCCTCTTTGAGTCCATATTACCCTCCCAAATAAGTGTTGTCTCCCAAATATTTGTGGGGCAGATTAGGCTGAAAAAGAGTTTCTGGTCCAAGGCTGCCAGGTGAGTTCACTGGTTGACTGGTTTCCAGAATCCACAGCCCAATAAGGAATGTGACAAGAAAATGCCTTGGAAAGCATGAGAGAACAATTGCTTGACAAAACATTGTATAACCTTCGCACGAGCAAATCAAAATGAATGTTCAGAAAACAGATTGTGTCATCTAACCTCCCTACAAACTTTATTCAAACAAATCAGGTTGAATGCTCAGGTAGTCTGGAAGGGACCTCAGATTCAAGGCCTCAGACCTGAACCGATAATCCTGTGAAACCAATGAAGTCCCTCAAGATCCTTTGTTTGTGAAATGGTAGGCCATCTGTTTCTCTAAACATTTATAGGTGTTAAATGTAAAGAAAAACATTTGCCTTATGATCAGTTATGTAGAATGTCACCAGGTGGTCCATTCTCTTTCTAGCACCTGGGCTTCCCATATTCAATACCAACCATGCTTTAGTTTTAGCTTTTAAAAACAAACCAACAAAATCACCAACTTTTGGGGAGCCTACTACAGAGATGTTTGGGTTGTGATAGCTTTATTTTCAGTTAAGTTAGATTTTTATCCTACTTTTGTCATTTAATAATGCACATGTTATTGGTGATATCATTATATTTATCCATTATTATCTACAGGCTTATACAATATATAAAAATTATGGGCAAATTCCACTTAGAACTTCTCCTCATTGGAATGAATGTGATTTACAGTCTCCTGAGACTTGTTTTCATTTCACTGGGAGATGTTCCCATTGGATTTTTCATATTCATATATTCACATATATATTTCTAGAATGCTGTAATTTGTGTTTTGGGTTGTGTTTTGGATTGCACATAGACTGAACGACTGCAAATATAAGGATGACTAGTTAAAACTATTTACTCAGCTTTTTATCCAGTATGAAATAAAGTGTCCCTGAGTGTTCTCTGTGACCTTCCTTCTTTTGCGCAGTTCTGTTAGGCAAATGCCTTTTGGGATGTTAGCACCTGCACCACCCACAGAACACTTGTCTGGTATATGGTGACTCTTTGCAAGATCACGGGACTCAAGACTTCGCTTTCTCCCGAGCCTCCAAGTTTCAGATTTGTGGCAAGGGTCACAATGTATAAATCACTCACCTCTATAAACAGGTTTTTTTTGTGACTTTCCCATTTCTCTTCTTGTGGCTATGATTGCGCTAGATTAGCACACAGGATCATGCTCGGTTTAGGGCTGTGGCACTCCAGATACAGGTAAGGCTACAACTCCCATCATTCTTACCATTGCCCATGCTGATTGGGACTGATGGGAGTTGTAGTCCAACACATCTGGAAGGCCACAGGCTTCTCATCCTTGGCTTAGTGCAAGTTTTCAGACTCACAAATTTCTTTTTTTATGCTGCTTACACTACTTATCATAAATATAGTCCCTGGTCTTTGGGTTTAGTCTCTTTGTTACAATTCTGCTATCTTGAAGGGGTGGGAATATGTACGCAGACAGATGGTGGCAAATAAAGAAACTGCAATCAGAAATTTTAACAATTGCTGCCTTTGGTGTCCCTGAGTACATCCCACTGTTTTGGTTGGCCAGATAAAATGGTCCAGAAACAGAGAATAGTGTTATATTTCCTCCCAGAGAGCAGGAGGCACTTCGAAAATGATCACTCTTCTGGTGGGTACACTCACCCCACTCTGCCATCTCTACCTTATTTCCAGAAGTGCAAGTGGGACAAAATAAATATGTATGTGTACACCTTGGGAAGGAATGCCTTTCTCCTTCTGCTCTCACCATTCTTAAAAACTATTGCCTTTATCCAGCTACGAATGGCGGCCATTTCTGGGGGCAGAGTATTAAGTTAGGCTACACTGAGGGAGCGTGTTGAGATGAGAGCAAACCCTGCCCTTGAAACAAGGTTGCTCAGCATCCGATGAGGAGGACCCCATGGAATTTGAGTATGTCTGTGTTGGTGGCCATCACAATGACAGGCATGTTCCTTGTTTCTAATATTGGGCAAACAGCATCCTTTCCACCAACACATTGGGTGGTATTCAGTGGTAATCCTGCTGACAGTAGACCCATTAAAAGCCTGGCCACACTTCAGAAGTTAGTGCTGCAATTGTTTTCAGACAACCTCCATCGTCTGCTCAACAATCACATATGAAATAGAGGTAGAAAGATAACACAGAAATGCTGAAATGCAAGATTGTAATGTAATCTGAATTCTCTATAAAAAGTGAAAGAATGGCAAACTGGAGAAAAGGGGGTCATGGGAATGCAGCCCTGTCCTCCTCCTCCTCCTTTCAGCTCCCTCAGTCCCCCCCCCATGTTGTCGCCTGTGTTTTTTCCCACCATCTTTGTTTCTCACCACTTTCTTCCTTTGTTTCTCTGGCTGGGCGTCCCTCCTGTCTGATGCACCGCAGCGCCCAGTCCAATACAAGAAGGGCCAGCATTGCCATGAAGAATTTGTCATAGGGATGTTGTAAATAAGTGCTGTGAAAGATCAAAGCTGTGTTTTTGCTAGAATGATTGCTAAGGTGTCCAAAGTCTTAAGAAAAAGCTACAGAATTAGTTTTACTGTCTTCCTATTATGTAGAGCTGCTTTTCATTGTAGTACCTTCTTTTTAAAAAACCCATTGACACCCACCAAATATCCTGAAAGGGTATGCACTTTTAGCAAGCAAATCCAAGCTAGCACCAGCAGTACATGACAAACCAAAAGAAGGGGCTGCACACGGGATGCTTAGTGATTGCTCTCCCCCTAACATCCAAATATAGCTTGACCCACTACCTGAGTAAAAAAACACGGAAATCCTGGGTTTAAAGAATGACCAGTTAGCCTTGCTTGTGGTGACAAGCTAGAAACAGAGATTCACTACTAAATAAAAAGACCTGCAACAAAATGTTGCAGTGTGGTGTGCACTCTCTGCTCAGCCCCTCCAGACAGTCAGCAATGTCAGCTTTCCATCTTTCTTCAAAATACTCCATTCCACGCGCTCTCAGAAGGAGGAGAGAGAGATTTCTCTTTCCACTCCCACCAACAAACACCTAGCAGGGTTGTTTAGGGTTTGGTTTTGTTGTTTTGCTTCATTAGGTATCCTGCTTCTGCAAAAAAACAAAAAACCCCAGCCCTCAGATAACTTCTCCCTTGTGTAGGGATGGTGCCATTTTGGCTACATAAGGATATACTTGTGCTGCAATTCTACCATGTCTACTCAGAACTAAGTCCCACTAATTTGATGGGGCTCACTCCCAGGTAAGTGAGGTTGACTGCAGCTTTAGCTATGAACATATAGAATCCTTAGCACTTAGAATACTGAAAGAACTTCATTCATAATTTCACTAATCTTTATGATGACCTGTGCAAGCAATATCAGGATGACTGCAGGTACAATTCCTGTTCAGAAATTATCTGTTTTCCTGGGCTTGATGGTTTGGATTCACCCAGAGGGGTAAACTCTTGGAAAAGGAAACCTTGTAAGCAAGCAGCAAATCTGGAAACATTCAGGCCTCTGATGTGTTTCATCAAGAGACAAAGACGCTTCTTTGCTTTTGTTTTCAGTTGGAATCTCTAAGGTTATTATCAGCTGCTTATAAAATAAATGTTTATACCGTTATCTCATCTGTTATTTGGTTTAATGGCTGTTATTCGGTTTAATGGAAATCTTAATATATTTATTTCAGTATTGTTATCCTGATATTTCAGATGGCCAACTGAGGCTTAAAGGAGCACAGTATATTTCCAAAGGCCATTATCATTCAGCTCATGCCTTAGGGCTAAATTAAAAGCAGGCCATGTGCAGAATGGGACCTGTATCAAATCCATATAAAGTAGAATGTGTGTGTGTGTGCAAAGGAGAATTAAAATGCATTAAAGATGAACAGAGTAAGAGCTAAGCCTTCTCCCCAACCACAGTTGCTCTCAAGAAAACTCCTATTAAGACATTTTTTCCCCTCCCAGTATGGGTTTAAAATGGAAATAAATCCTACTGGGATAAAAACAAGTTTTTAAAAGGTAGTTTGGGTGGGGAAGCAGAGACGGCGGAGAACTCAGCTCACTCTTCACATTCTTGCTTTGCCTTAACAGAACCTTCTATGGCATTCTTCAAAATAAGAGTTCACCTCTATAATTCCAAAATTTAATTAGCTTTCTGGTTCCATACATGCATAATAGAAAACAAATTAACTCTGTTAATTATACTTTTCTGTTCTGTTAAGCCACATTATTTCTTTACTGTGTTGATGAAACTCATTTTATACCATCCTGACACCACCTGGCACTTCTCCTGCACAATCTGCACTGAAATGAATGAGAGCAGGAGAACATCCTAACATGCTAGGGATATATTTTCTGTCTTCAATGTACACTAACTCTCCTTCTGAGAAAAGGCTGCTGTGTTCCTTTTCAGCCCATCAACCCATTAATTTTCCTGCTTAAAGAGACAAACTGGTTCTCTCACCTCTCCAGACATGTGTGGGGCAAGGCAGCTAGTCCTTTGCACATCTTGCCGTGTGGTTATTGTGTCCTTGATGCCAAGAAGATTGTGTGTGAGGAGGCTGAGACTCCGTCTGGAACGCAGCAGCCGGCTTCCTTTCAGGAATATATAGCGGCTGCCTTGACTCCCAGCCAGCCCCTTTGGCCAATCACGGCCCATGTGGTGATTCTGAGCGAAGGAGCATTAGCCGGACAGGCACAGACCTCAAAGAGGAGGCAAAGAGGGGACCTTCCTTTTTGCATTTCCCAAGTTAGCTGCTGTTGACTCAAGACTGCTTAAGCAAGCATGGACAGCATTTAGCCTGGCAAATTATGGACAACCCAGTCCTTCTCTGAATCTGTGGGGCAAAGTCAGTAAAATCCTGAAGGATTTATTAAGTTTCAATATAATAATAGCTTTCCATTAGTCACACACACACATATAGCATTTTAAAGCTCTATAGCAGTGTTCACAGTACTTACTAGCATAAATATGCTAATAATCAAATAAAAGGGGAACAGGAAAGGGGAAGAGAACTGGACAGGGAGGCAGATAAAGGCAATATAAACAAGGTTTTATAAATCGGATTGATAAAACGTGCATGATCTGGGACCTTTGTTCTAAATTTCACTGTTGCTGTAATTTATGCCTTCCAAGTAGAGCAATTAGTGCCCCAGAACCATTGATTGTTGTAGAACATCTGTATTTGCTTTTATACTAGGCGTGTGGTGTTTTATGAAGTATTTCTTTAAAATCTGCATCATGTGAACTGGCTTACGATGGAAAAAAACCCTGAAATAGTTTGTGAAACAATCCACGCCGTGAGCAGCTGGCACCCTGACAGGTCCATGTACCCCACGACCCATTTCTAAGGTGCAGGCCTCTTTCAGCTCAGCTTGCAAGGCCAGACCCCTGCCGTTCCCTTCTCTAGCAAGGGAGGGAAGGGGTCGGGCGAAGCAGTGGCATAGAGCGCTCCCTTCTTTCTCACTATGGCAGGCCCCAGAGAAGGGCTGAAGTAAGGTAAGGTTCTCTGTCCCAGGGGCTGCCTAGGGGCAAAGGAGAAGGGGTGACTGCCATTGCCAAACTCCTAGGGGGCTGAGGTCCCTTCGCCCCCCTCCCCAAGTTGATGGGCATTGCTATTCAAATGGGGGGGGGTGCGCTGTGTCTTGTGATCAGTTTGTGGCGTGGGGCTTACCTGGCACCCCTCCTTAGCTTTCTTCTTTCTTCTACACATCTTTAAAGTTACAAAACTGAGGGCATTCCAGTGAAACCACTCGTGTTTTTACATCCATTTGAATGTTCTTAATAAACCTAGACATGCAAACATTGACAGCTACCACTAGTAATGACAACCATTTTGCATTCCTGTTGTTCTCTTGTGTTCTGCTGCTGGAGGGCATAGAATCAAACCCAGGGATGCTAGTGCAGGCACAACTGCATGACCACTGGCCCCTTCAGCACGAAAGGTGTGCAGCCTTAGCTGGTGCCAGATGTGGTAAAGCAGAACACCACTCCGGCAATATCCGAGAGCCAATGCACACCAAGCAGTTCCCTTCCCCGCCCTGGCATGCCACCCATCATTTGAGGCCCTTATTTGTGTGCCCCCTCCAAGGGAGGTACAAAGGGTGACAACACAAGAATGGACCTTCTCTGGTGCTAGTCAAAAACATTCTTATTCATCCAGACCTTATCTTTTAGTGGGGTGGGACAGAGGTGGATCTGAGATGATGATGATAGATGATACAGATATAGATAGATAGATGATAGCTAGCTAGCTAGCTAGATGATAGATAGAGATCTGAGTCGTCAAAGGCGACTATGTGGTGGTGCTCATCTCGCTTCAGGCCGAGGGACCTGGCATTTGTCTGCAGACAGCTTTCCAGATCATGTGGTCAGCATGACTAAACCGCTTCCGGCACAACGGGACACCGTGACAGAAACCAGGGCGCACGGAAATGCCATTTATTTTTTGTAAGTTGCTTTGAGTGCGGGAGAGTGGCGAATAAATAAATAAATAGAATAAATAATCAGTACTTGATGTCACAGGATGAGAGTGTGACAGGGAGCTAGTTTGGCATGATCCTGCTCTCTGATCATGCACTGTCTCAAGAAGTGAGGAATACTTCATGCCAGCTGTTGGCATGAGGCACTGCCAAGGCACTGCCAAGTGGGAGCATTTAGGAGCAACTCTGTCTGCTTGAGACACACTCACCATTTCAGAAGATGACCACAGAACAGACCCACCACCTACAACAGCAGAAGAGTGCTCAGTCACGAGAGAAAAAACACTTGGGTTCCCATACAGTAGTGTGTTTTTCCCAGGAGAGAGGGGTGCAGCCTCCTAGCAGACCCTGAGTCTAGGATACATCGTTTTTGTGTCCTCCTTTTCACATCAGAAGAAATAAAATTTATACTAGTCTTACTGGACATAGAATCCAAAGTAGCACTGGAGATCTAGCATGGCTCAGGTCCCGGTTCAAACTCCAGTTTAGTCATGCTATCAAACAAACAAAGCCTGTGTAGGGGGCTTGTTCAAAGAGCTTCATGCACGTTAGCGGGTAATCCTTACAATAGCCTGAAAGGCAAGTTGGTTAACATCCCCATATTGCAAATAGAGGGTTCAGTGTGTAGCTTGCCTCAGGCCACCCAGAGTATTCACTGCTGAGGTGGGATTTGAACCAGGAACATTTTCATTTGTAACTCAGTCACAGAATCACAGAATTGTAGAGTTGGAAGGGACCCTGAGGGTCATCTAGTCCAACCCTCTGCAGTGCAGGAATCTTTTGCCCAATGTGGGACTCAAACCCATGACCCTGAGATTAAGAGTCTCATGCTCTACTGACTGAGCTATCCCAGGTTAAGTCTATTAGCTACTACATGACACCAGTGCAAATGGATTTCAACAAGTCACTATTACCAAGCTTCAAATTCTCACCTGTTTAATGGGGATCAAGAGCAAAACTTTTGATTCTATGCATGTGTACTGAGAATTAAGCCACACTGAACTTAGTGGCACTTACTGCTGAGCTAACATACACAAGGTTTGGGCTGAAAGGCTGATGGAAGCATGTTCCATTGGAATCAGTGAGACTTGCTTGCAAATAAATCTAACAATAGTGCTGAAAGGCAACATGGCTAATTTGGGGCAGTCTAGCACATTTGGTTTTATGAACTCTCTATGCTTAAATTACTTTTCAGCAACACTGTAATGAAAAATTCATGTTCAAGGGAATGCATTGGTGATTTGCCACTCTGACAGTAGCTGGGAGACTGGCTGTTGATGTTTTATGTGAACAAAACTCAAATTTGAAACAAAAAAATGAGATAAAAAGATTCTCTTTTATGAGAATTGTCTTACAGCCGATTTTATTAATGTGGATCAATATTTTTCCCTTTTGTCATACATTATATAAACCCAACACAAAAGCTCTTTGCTATGTACAAAGCTCTTTGCTATAGTTGCAAAAGCAGCCCAGGGCAGCGGCTCAAACTGCAGCCCTAAAACTTGGCAACTCTAAGAACCAGCCTCTGTCAATCTCTGGCCACAATCCTTCATTCCATGAAGGGAATAATAACAGGAACAGGTTCTCCACAGCAAACCATGTCACTTTCCTTTTCCACAGTGACACAAAACTATTTTTGGAATGACTGCCGTGCACTGTGATTAAAAGAGGGTGCCTAGGCAAAGCATACGCATTGCTGAGGCACTGCTCTTTTATCCTTTCTAGAAGCAAGCACAAAGCACTCTGGTTTCTCAAGTAATATTTCCATAGGAAAGAAGTCCACATTTCCACTTGGGAAAGCTGGCACAATAATGCAAGTCCTGTGATCCCAAAGTCAAAATGCCCAACTGGCAGGTCCAGGAGATACCAGCCCAGCCGATCGTTAGCACTGGCCACTGCTTCTGCCTCAGCATGTGAGGAGTCCTTCCTTTGCAGCCAGCCGCTGCCGATGGATCTTGTCCTGCTGCAGCTCCTCGTGGTTTGGGTGCCAGAGCTTCAAGATGATCCTTTCAATATTGAGGGCATAGACTGTGTGTGCAGGAACCACTTCTCGGTGGACCTACAGGTTACATATGAGGAAATTTTGTTAGCAACATATTCTCAGCTTAAAAGGCCTAAAATGTCCAACTGGAACTAATTGTGTGTTTCTTATTCTTAGTACTTCATACACTACATCATCATCATCATTTATTTGTACCCCGCCCATCTGGCTGGGTCTCCCCAGCCACTCTGGGTGGCTTCCACAGAGACCCAAAATACACTAAAATGTCACACGTTAAAAACTTCCCTGAACAGGGCTGCCTTAAGATGTCTTCTGAATGTCAGGTAGTTGTTGATCGCTTTGACATCTGGTGGGAGGGTGTTCCACAGGGCGGGTGCCACTTCCAAGAAGGCCCTCTGCCTGGTTCCCTGTAGCTTTGCTTCTCGCAATGAGGTAACCGCCAGAAGGCCCTCGGCGCTGGACCTCAGCGTCCGGGCAGAACAATGGGGGTGGAGACGCTCCTTCAGGTCTACTGGGGCTTTGAGGCCGTTTAGGGCTTTAAAGGTCAACACCAACACTTTGAATTGTGCTCAGAAACGTACTGGGATCCCCAGTTCAAGGGACAAAGTGTTTGATGCATGTGCTAATTAATTTTTCAAGATATACATCCTTCTTTTAGGGAAGGGCAGAATGTGTGCTCTGCACACAGAAGGTCTCGTGTTCAGTCCCCAGCACCTACAGTTAGGGCTGCGAGGGGCCCCTGTCAGAAATCCTGGACTTCTGCTGTCAGTCACTGTAGACAGCACTGAGTTAGATGGAATGTTAGTCTGACTCAGAATAGGGCGGCTTCCTATGTTCCTAGCATACAGTTGGGAATTACTGTACCAAGAACGGTAAGGTGAATATGGCCACGTGTTACACAACATGCATAGCTAAAAAGTGAGTTGTTGCCCTGTCCGATAATGTTTGTGATTCATAGAAAGATGGCTTGATAAGTGTATGTAAGATCAGAAGTACTCAGAGTGGGGACTGGGCCTGTTTGCCTAAATTTTGGGAGCTTCAGTAGGAAATTAAATTTAGTTCGCTGGAAAATCTAAAACAGTTGCTGGGTTAACAGCTAGATACAACCTGGAAGTTTATGTAGAGAATATGCACTTATACAGAAAAGAGCATTTCCTTCCTACAGTCCCAAGGTTACTTATGTTGGGGTTTTGCCAGCAAACACTCTCTCCAAGCCAAGCTAGCTAGCAGAATAAGGAAGTTACCTGCAGAGCTTCGAAGAGGTCATACATGTTGACTGGTGGCAGAGTGGCTGGAGAGGTGTCCCCAGAACATGCTAGGAGTAGAGCTGCTTGCTGCTCAGCATCATCAGGAGGTGGGTGGGAAGCAAGGTTTTGACCAGGAGGGGGAGCTAAGCATGTGGGAGGGCTAGAAAAAGAGAAATAGGGAGGGAAAAAGGAATGAATGAAAAACACTAGTTTCGTATTCTAAAGTTCTGTCCTGCACCACATTAAAACAGGTACTTTCTTACCACTCAGTTAAGTTGTTGTAAGCAATAACACTATTCTTCAGATAAGGCTGTGGGTTCACATTACTTCCAAAGGCATACTTGAAGTGACCATCTCTGAGACGGTAGGCCTTTCTCCTTGATATTATAGATGCAAGGATATCCTTAAGATGCTTCTGCAGAGACAGAACTCATATTTACTGCTCATGATGAGTACCAAGAACAACTTCCAGTTCCCGTCCTGTGATTATTACATTGTAAATACTTCGTAAGACACCCAAGCCTGAAACCAGAACACCCACTGGTCAGGCTGCAGAGCTTTATGCCCTGCACTGTCAAGTCTGGCCTTTGAAGTATGTGGAACCCACAGCTTATTGAAGACAAGTGTTATTGGGCTTACAACAACTTAACTGAGGTGGTAAGAAAGTACTGTTTTTTTAATGTGGTGCAGGAACAGAAACTTTAGAATACGAAACTAGTGTTTTTCATTCATCCTTTTTCCCTCCCTATGTTCTCTTTTTTTAGCCCTCCCACATGCTTAGCTCCCTGCTGGTCAAACCTTGCTTCCCCCCCACCTCCCTGAGTGATGCTGAAGAGCAGCAACAGCTCTCTCCTAGCATGTCTGGGGACACCTCCCCGCCATCGGCCACAGGTCAACAATGTATGACCATCTTCGAGAGTCTCTGCAGGTAACTTCCTTATTCTGCTAGCGTAGC